TGCAAAAAGCCGTGGCTTGGAAGACTGCCAATCGAAGAGATAACTTCATCTCTTAAAACGGCGGAGAGTTAGGCCACAATGACTCTCTCCTGGTGTGGCCTCTGGCACTCCCACTCAGGTGGGACCCAAGCTACTCGCCTCTTATTTCTGTAAAACGCCAGTCAATTGTTCATTGACTAGGAATGTATGGCACGAGTGAACGGTCTGTTCAGCTTTGTCAGCAACTGCGCCCGATTCCGCTTCCCATCTGATCGGCTTTGTCCTGACACCGAAACTCGCTTTGTAGAGGGGGAGAGTGTAGTAGATGCTGTGCGAATCTCCTATTACTATAAACTAATTCATGTGCACTTCATCGTCCCTGCGCCTATCAATCAGCGGGACACACGGTGCACATATATGATCGCAACGGTCGCATCAAGTAGTCCTTCGCAGAGACAAGTGGCATCAAACGGTTATCAAGTGCAGTGCAAAAACGTCTGTCACGTTAAAAAAAATCGGAGCGACCTCAAATTTCTAATCATAATCAGAAAGCCGCCTTACCTCCACCTCAACTCCCAGAAGCATAATCGCAAAAAAAGAAAGCCTTATCCAAACCACTTTCTAGTTCGAATTGAATCCCAGGACAGGGCAGGTATCTACACAAAAATCAAACACCGAGGGAACCGGAAATGCAAGGTGTGGCGACGACAGGAATAGCGTACGTTGATTAGAGATAAGACTTAAGATTTTGTAGATGTAACAATTTTACAGTTATGACAGCAAGTTGTTCCTTCGCTTGTCTTCCTCTAGTTATCAAGTTTGTTGTGCATCTATTAACTTGACTTGAGGCCACTGGTGATAATAGGGTTCCAGTGTGCGCATGTTGATGGAAAAATACAAACGAAGAACGTACCGTTTTCGCGAACCTCCAAAAAGTAAGCATGCTATGGCCTTCTTGATATCCGAACTACCGTAGATTGACGGGGCGATACTGCGTGCAATAATGTCGTAGATGTTGGGAGTATTCGCGAGTTTACGTATTTCCTCCACCTCCTCGCACTCATTCTGACCACCACCGGAGGCACCCGCTCGAGCGGCGCTGCTCTCTGATAAAAGACCACTCCTACCAGGACCATCGTTGTTCAAGGTCAGTCCTAGCACTCGTACGTAGGCGGACCTAACGCCTACATTAACGCGTTCAGATCCTCCGGCTTTGGGCTGAAAGGCACACAGGTATCCATGGGTAAATGAACAAGTTTAATTACATTTGACCAGCAAGAGCACTTGGGCTATCTGTGATCCTGCATGTGTTCCTGGTATAAACAAATACTAGCAATTGGGTTGGTCTATATCAATCTAAGGGGTCAATAAAGTTGTCTGTTGGCAAAACAGTCAAATGTCTGCTAGATTATGCGAATAATGAAAAATCAGAGATGCGAAACGCTTTTGTTTGACTAGTTTTTACTGGCCTACTGGAGTCAGTGTCTAGGCTATCAAAAAAGCTCGAAATTCCAAGTGAACCCCCAGAAGAAAAGAAAATTTAGGTAAAATAAGATTTGCTTCACGAAAAGGGTCGCTATGTGATAAGGCCGCGACAACTATGGGTGTAATTCCAAAAAAATAAACCGGGATGCAGAATGGAATATGGCTTGTATTAAACCACAGGTCCGACAAAGTTGCTTGAATATGCCAAGGTCACTTCTTGTGCATTTTCCGGATGAGGATGGTCTACTAGTTTGTAGGCGGATATAACCGGTGTTCCTTCCCTCCCTACCGCTGATTTCGCTCTCCCACTGCCGTTAAAGCACCGTTTCGCATGTCCCTTACCATCAGCACCTTAACGGCGCGAACCCACATTTGGCGACAGCGCTGCACTCAATGTCGGTATCTAACTGACATTTCGTGACCAGCCCTCAATCGAAATGCGTCGCTTGTATAGTACCTCGGTATTATATTCTATTGTTACCCTTCCTCTTTTAATAACAATTTCTTTTCCATAACAGATCTTGTAAGTCTCGTTATTCTTCTATATCTCTATACGTGTGTCTGTTGTGGTGATTAACAACCCCATTCAGTGTTGCACAATTAGAGAACTATACAGGGGAACTACTGCTTCTTGCGTATGCCAACCTAAACGTCCTCGTCCGCTACAGGGGGCAGCTGCGAGAAGTGGCTGAAATCAACTTCAGTTAAGATTACCGGCTTACAATGTTAACAGGAACCTGAGGGTTCAAAACATCCTGGTATTATTGAAAATGCGGACAAAGTATGACTTTTAAAAAACAGCTCCTGAGGTAACAAGTCAGCAGTATTACAACAAAAAGGAGGCTTAAGAGCAAGTTCATGTGTATGCCCACAAAATTTCAAACCATTTCATAGGTGCGTTTTCGATGGCAAATATGTAAGTACTTCGAGGTATCATCAACTAAAATATCAAACAGCTGTTTCGTGGGAAATATAGAAAACCGAGGTTAATGTGAGAACACAAGATTGGAGATCGCAACTCACTTTTGTTGGAACGAAGGCATGAATAGAAAATATTCCCACAACGGTAATCCGGTTTCCCGGACTCACTTTTTCGACCAGATACCTATAAATTGAATATACGTGTCTGATGCCTACCTGTCGCAATACAACTGCATATGACGAGGCATTTCACCATGGGGGACGGACTCGGGTGATTCTTGGAGCTTAAGGACTTGGTAATCAACGCACTTGCATTTGTCTGGAACAATGAAATATGGGTCAATGGGGCACGAGACAGCAGTGCCACCAGTCTGTGATGTAGGGCATTTTCGTGGTAACATATAGCCTTCGAAGCCGGGGCGAACGCGTAAATTCGGCAAATACTGACGACAACCTCTGCATTGGAGTGTCAGACGCGTGGCCTAGCAAAATTGAAAAACGTTAGGAGAGTAGAAACAAACCTTAGCACGAACACCAGATGAGGACACGACAATACCGCTAATCTTCACCAACTTTGAAACCTGCTCAGAGTGCAGTTCACGAAGGCT